CCCCAAAGACGGTCCAAGAGGGTCCCGAACCGATGGACGATCGGTCCAAGACGCCCGAATAACCTCCAGACGGCCCAAAAAGGTTTTCAAGGTGCGGCCTCCAAGAGCGCCCCCCAAAGACCCCAAGAGGCATGAAACATGGGCTCCCCATTGGTTTTGGATCGATGTTGGAATTTTCACCTTTTCGGCTTCTCGACACTCCAAGATGGCCTGCGAGGCCCCCAAGCTCGCCCCAAGATAGCCCAAGAAGCCTCCAAAAAGGGACCAAAACAAACCAAAAGGGCCCTGAGACGGCCCAAGAGGCCTCCAAGACGGCCCCAAATGTCCCCAAGACGGCTGCAAGAAGGAACCTAGACGGGGGAGCCAAACGGACATTTCGAGCCCTCGGCCTGAGAGGCTCCCAGGTTAAGCCAAGAAACCCCCAAAAGGCCCTCAAGAGGCTCCCGGAAGCTCCAAGAGGCCCTCTCAACAGGCCCCCAAGAGGCTCCCAAAAGGCTCCCGAACTACCCCCCAAAGGCACCCGAAAACGCCCCGAAGAGACCCCAAGAAACATCCCTCAAGACTCAGACCAAAGCCAACATCGTCGTCGTCGTTCAAGATCGGCGGCACCGGCCGAAGGCCTTTCAAAGATGACCTCATTGTGCACTTTCTACGAAAACTTGTCTGGGAATAGTTGTTCTGGGTGGACTGGGGAATACTTTTTGGGTCGCAGCCGCAGGCGAAAGCGCAAGCGGCGAGTCGTCAGTCCGGGGCGCGGGCCTACGAATTAAAACAGGAGCAAACTAGAACGGCATAACCTAAACAACTAGCTGCCTAAGCGTCGCCGGACTGGGTAATAATTACGCGAAGCGCCAATAATCTGACAAGCGAAACGCTTGACGAAGAGTTCGATGACCTCCAGCGAAACATCTGATGGACGTGAACACATGGCTGATTTACCAATCAATTAACTCAAGGTGCACCTCTCCATCGCGGCCTCCCATGTTCACCCTTCTGCCCCCTTGATGCTGATCCACCTCCTACTTGCTGTGGTGCCTCCCGCTCCAACTGCATCATTGTTCAACCCACCCTGTCCCCTCATGTCCTCCTCCGCCTCCGCCTCATCTTGGAGGTCCCCAAACCTCGCGGTGGCAAATCGTGCGATGATCTCGGGATCTTCAACAAAAAACCTCACCGCACTGTCCGTCGCCGCGCGGTCTCGAATTTGGAGGCCCCGACCGCCCGAGGCGTCCCCCGAAAACGACCCAAGTCCTAAAACCGTTCGGTCACCCCGAACCCCCACTGACCCGCAATGTCCAGCACCGCACGGTTTTGGGACGCTGGAGGCCCCAATCGCCGGCGTTGTCCTCGGAGAACGACCCGCATGCTGAAACCGCGCGTTCGCCCCGAATCCCCGACGGATTTACCACGCGGTACGGTCACCGCGCCGAAGCGGGGCGCTCGACCTGGTTTGAGATCCTCTGGGCCTCCCCAGGCATCGGGGGGCCTCCAGAGACATGCTGAAACATCCAGACGCCCTCCTGACGCCCTCCTCCGCACCAGCGCCTGCAGCCGTCACCGCCGAGTGGCCAGTGAAAAGACATCCCGAATCATAAAACCGTGCGGTCACCCCGAATCCGTCGCACCGCATGGGGGCCCCCTGTCCCCACCCTCGGCCAGAGGTCGGTTTCGTTTCCAGCTCGAAGGTCCAGATTCAAGCGATGAAATGGCAGCCGCACATCGTGACAGAAGCGCCGCGGAACCCCTAAGCTCCGCCCGAGGTCGTACCCCGAGGAAGCTTAACTTACGAAGCGGACGAATCATATCTGCGGAAACATCCGTGCAATGGCCCTCGCCAGCGCACGCCCGAGGCACGCGACCCCCTGCAGGCGCGGCTGGCCCTCAGGCGCGGGGTTTGGACACTGGGTGGGATCCCATACTCAAGAACTTCCGAGGCGAAAAAGGGCCCTTGGGGGTGATCACCAGCTGTGGAGGACGGAACAGAGGGAGGAGGAGGAGGACGAGGAACACGGACAGGACGAGATGGACAAAACCTTGTGCCATCATTGTCGCCCGGCAGGCGCTGTGCAAAAGGGCGGGCTGAAATCTCGACGTATCACGATCTGCTGCTACCTGTGATCCTCCAGGAACTTGCTGATCACCCGCTCGAGTGAAACTCGGGGGTGTTGGGCCGCTGAGCCGACGGCCGCCTTTAGCGACGACCGTCGCTGCCAGGAAGTTCTAGGTCGGAAAGGACCAGCCAGTGAGCCTTGTGCACATACCGAACCAGCGTGTAGAGATGCCTTTGACCTACGACCTCGGTGCGGGCTCAAGCGCGGAAATGTCCGATCATCTCTGCGGCGTATTCCGGCTAGTGGGAAGCGGGCGCTGTGGAGATCGGACACCTCCGACACCTGCTTCTTCTCGTTCTCCCTGCCCTCCGCGACCGTCCTCGTCGCTCCGTATAACGTATAACGCCGCGGCGAAGATGGCCATGTACGGTGGTTATTTCGTCTTGTGGGCGGCTGCCTGCTGCCCGCTCGCCGCGAATTTCTTGAGGTTCTCGCTCTTTTCGTCACAACCTTTGCCTGCCTTCTGAGCCGCTGCGACGCAGCTATGTCCCGCTCCGATCTGGTACTTCGGGTACTCCGGCGCTTGCATGCCCAGGGTGGCCAAGCTGTGCGGCAACGACAGCTTGGCGAGAAGCACGATCACGTCCTGCTTGCCTTTGCCCCACGCTGCGCCACCTCTGTAAATGGTGGAGGAGCCACATGCGAGGAAGACTCGACCCACCACGGTGGTGAGAAGCACACTCCACAGGCTGCGCTGCGAATCTCGTTCACATCCTAACCGCGAATCTGCCAAGGCCTCCGAGTCTGCGACGGCGTTTAGATCCTGGGCCACATCGCGCATGGCCTCGCACGGGAGAAGCGCAGCTGCTTCGCCGAGGTCACGGGCCAGCTGCATCAAGTATGGGGAAACCCATTGCGTAGGCCAACCGCCCAGCAAGCGTGGGCGGATGTCACGCCAGAACTCCAAAACATCTTTGTTATTCAAACTGTTAATATGGTTCCCATCGAAGCTAGCAGCCTTTACACCCGTCGCCGCCCGACCCGAACGGGCAAGGCAATAATCTAGGATGCTATTGTCTGCACGGCACAGGGGAAAACTTCAGAGGCCCGAGAGCAACGCATTCCGAACGAAGCCACTGAACAAGCACGCACGCCAGCGCGAAGCAAAATGTGTGAAACTGCGGAAGCCCGCGAGCGTGAGAAAGCTCCCGCGAGCAACCAGGCATCGACGAACAACTTCCGATCGCGCCGGATCACGCATAATTGGGAACGGGCCCAGGTAGCGCGCCTCCTCCCTCAACGCCCGGGTCCCGACCAGGTCCCCACAGCGTAAATCTGTACGATTACAGCGACCCTGATGAGCGGAGTGCACGAGGAATTCCTCGTTAAAGGCATTCTGGGCACATCAAAAATGAGATCAGGCCGAGTCGAGTTCTCTGTCCGTCATTCGAAGCTTGCCGAAGACCGATTGAAGCGAGTCCCTTTGGTATCTAGGTACAAACTTGCTCAAATGGTCGGCGTACTCCCGCAGCGACGCATCTACTGCTACTATCCAGTCCTTCCATTCCCCCGCTGGAAACTTAGACCTGATCTCCCAAATCTATATCCCCCCATTGGGATAATGGGAACTCGAAACTGCCCGGGAAGGCTGCCACGATGAACGAGTCGCCCATGAAACCTTCCCAAGTAGGGCGGACCAACAGTGGGCCGTCGGCGGCCGAGAACAAAATCCGCGCCTCCGAGAAGCGATGCCGGCAAAGGGCGCCGCTTGTCGCCGCTTCTTTCAACGATAATGCTCCCGCCAACGTTCCGCGCGACGCGCCGAGGAAGGCGTTGCTGAGGTTCTTCGGACATACAACGTGCGAAATCCCACATTCCCGAAACCGTCTACTTACCAATTGCGAGCATAGCGCCGCCTCCTCCCCCCTCCCCCCCGCCACGAAACCGTAGTCCATGACCGTCGGGGAGGCTCGTAATTTGTAACTGAAATATAGCGTTTTCCCCGAGCCGCTGAATATTTGTCCCTTGGCCCTGGAAGGGCAGACTTTCTCAGACCGCGCGCATGATGGCAGTGCCAATGCAGAGGTGTCTGCTCATTGCTCATGCACGCGTGCTTTAGCCGAGCCCACGTGCCTGCAAGAGGAGTAGCGCGCTGGGCGGTGTTGGGCCGCACCCGAGGCCACCTGTCGAGACAAAATCAGGCCTCGGCTCTGGCAGGAAACGAAGAAGGTGCCACAATTTCAGCGGATCTGTGTTCTCAGGAACAGCCGTCCTCTATTCCCATAGGTGGGGCGTCAACGAGTCGCAACATAATCCGCCTTTGTAAATTCCATGAGCCGGTCATTCAGCAAACAAGGAGAAACACCGCCGCGATCCTTACGCAACGGTTCCCATTCGCATCGTTGAACAACCATGCTCCCGTTCGGGGCTAGATCGTTGCCGGCTTCGTCGGAGGTCCCCCGAGGTCTCTAGGGGTTCCAGATGTCCCAGAAGACCCCATAGGTTGGCATGGACGAATGCTGGCGTTGGCCTCCAAGGGGCCACAGACCTACCCAAAAACGCATCCTGAAGAAGAAGGTCGATTAGTGGACGCATGCCCGTCCCAACTCATAGGGCACAAGCCGCAGGAGCCACCGGAGGCCCAAGCAGGGCCAAGACGCATAGCAAATCCTTCTCTTCCCCCTCCTCCTCGTCCTCTTCTCTCTTTCCCTCCCTCCCTCCCTCCTCCCTCCTCCTCCCTTCCTCCCTCCCTCCCACCTCCCTCCTCCTTCCTCATCCTCCTCTGCCTCGTCCTCCCTCCTCCTCCTCCTCCTCCTCCTCCTCCTCCTCCTCCTCCTCCTCCTCCTCCTCCTCCTCCTCCTCCAGCTCGCTCTGGCGCGTCCTCTCCGAAGAGCAGGTGCTCTGCGGCGCGGGCGGAACCGCGACAGGCAAGGGCGGGCGCCGGATATCCTGCAGCTTCTGCTGCCGCACCGCGA